CCTCGGAGTAGGAGAGATGAGGAGCGTCAGCCGGGACCCCCTCGGAGACGGAGAGGTGAGGAGCGTCTGCCGGGACCACCTCGGAAACGGAGAGATGAGGAGCCACCTCAGAGGCTGCGTGTGGCGTGGGGTCCACCTCAGGAATGGCTGCAACAGGAGTCTTTAGAGTCTCTATTTCTGTTAACAAAAAATCATACTCGGGGAGCAAAGAAAGGCCTGGGATAGAAAGTAAAAAATCCTCCATCTGGGTCAAAACTAAATCAAAGGAGGACGGGTTTCTTTTAGCAGAACTAAATAGTTTGAGAATTGTCTGATTAATATGAGAAATATCCTCAGGGGGAAAAAAAGGAAGGTCTGTATGAGTGGGTGTGGTGACGGGTGCCGCCCCCACCGGAAACCTGGAAGGTGAGGCGGCGGGACACGCCCCCACGGTGTCACAAAGAAAACTCTCCGGAGGTACGGCCAGGCTGGGTCGAACAGCCGCGGCGCAGAGTGGCGGTGAGAGGCCGGATTCCGCCCCCACCAGGAACCTGGAAGGTGAGGCGACGGAACCCGCCCCAGTGACGTCAACCGGACCGGACTCACCGAATCGAGCAGGAGTGGACCGGAGCTCCCGTGGGACGCTGGATCTCGCCCCCACCGGAAACCTGGGAGGTGAGGCGGCGAACCCCGCTCCCACGAAAACACCGGAACCAGCTCTGAAGTTCTGCTCGGCTGAAGAGACCGGGCCGGCCGCCGCAGACTGCCTCCGGAACCGTCCACCGCGGCGGCGGTGGGACGGTGGATGGACAGAGACGGAGAGGAGCTCGTCCATCACGGCACGAGGAGGGAAAAAACAAAAATGGGTGAGTGTTGCCGAGTGAGAACCCTGCCCGCTGGGTTCTGTTCTGGTCGGGTCGTACTGTTAGGATTTATGGTCGGAGCGAACCCAGAGTGCAGAACAGGGACTCAACTCGGCAGATATACAAAAATAGGTTTTTAATGATAAATGAAAAGTACAAAATAAACGAGCTGACGGGGCAGCAAAACTTACATAAGCAAGGAAGGAGGCACGGGGAACTCAGGAGACATGGGGAACTCGAGGGACCAGGAAGACAAGGAGAGACTCAGGAGACCCAAGGAAGCGTACCCAACGAAGACGACCCGACGAAGAACAAGACAGAATAGGATGACTTAAATACAGGGAGAAGACGAGACCTGATGACAAACAGCTGGGACGCGACACAGGTGGCAACAATGGAAACTAATGAGGGAGCACGAGGGAAACAGACACACCGGGCCACAGAAAAGTAACATCCTTACATGTACCGTATTTTTGCCCAATAAATCATGTTTTTGGGTTTTTTTTTTGCATAATTTACATGCCCTGTAACTTATACACAACATTATAAATACCAAAGTGACTAATTTATGGATTTTCCACCATATTTATAAACCAGTTCTTGGCTGAGATATGACTGTTCTCTTTCATTCTGACTGAAACTATTGAACACTACTATTTTCAGCCGTTAGATGGCGCTAGAGTAGCATGACATGCAGTTGTGTCACCTAATAGGTATAACTGGCTATTAGTGACACAACCGGCTTGCCATAGCCTGCCACCTTCGTCCAGCTCGCCTGGAGCAACCATCAAACCAGCTTCATTTCGTTGCACAGCCCCAGAGAAATGCAGCTCATTTTTGACGATTGAAGTGCATTAAGTAAAAGTTCAACTGAGACACACCTATACTTTAATGTTGAGCAAACAAATAATTGTTTTATGTGCTTATCTTGTTAAATTTCAAAGAAATGCTCAGCATTCCTCCTTCACTATTTCCTCCCTGTATGCGCATTCCCAGAGCACCGAGGCAGCAAATACTTGTGAAATGCAGCTGATTTGACCGTTAAAGTCCTTTTATTAAGTAAAAGTTCAACCAAGACACATCTTTACTATAAAGTCGAGCAAACAAATAATTGTTTTAAGGTGGTTATCTTATTAAATTTCAAAGAAATGCACGAGTCGCCCTCTGCGTGTTCATGTTTCTGCGTATCTGCTTTTGAACTGCAGCTGATTTGACCATCAAAGTGCATTTATTAAGGAAATGTTAGACTGAGACACACATTTACTATAATTTCGAGCAAACAAATAATTGTTTTTAAGTGTTTATCTTGTTATATTCTTGTTAAAGTCTTCCTGTGCACGCTCCCGTGGCCTCCATTTGGCAGCCAGTCGATTTTTGGCACAACACCAGCCCACATTTCCGGGTTGTCAGTGGTGACGCATAATAGATGCGACATATACGGCAAAACAACGTATACATGTATTTTTCCACTTCATTAGACATATTTGGACTGATAAGGGGGTGCAACGTGTACGGTGGAAAATACGGTAAGTACAGTCCATATACCATTAAAGGTCTTAAATTGTTGTTTGACAACAATCCAATTTGGCAATGTTTACATTTATATAGTTTCTTTAAGAATGGATTCTCTAATCTAAGCTCATCATTCCAAGTTAAATGAACTGACAAAGTTTTTCTGCTTTTAAAACTACACTTTTGAAAGTTTTGGAGTTTGGAAACGTTTGGGAGATGTAGCAGCTGTGTTCGAAGCGGCACAATCTGTGTCCCAAAGAGAAAAAAAAACCTCAAGTCCGTCATGAAGCATCAGCACTCAGAGATAAAGGCGAGGGTGATTTACAGTCTGATGATGTCATTCTGTCTGGAGATATAGCAGTTGATTTTAATGAAGTGAGACGTGAGAAAACTGCACAGAGGTTCCTGGCTTCATCAATCAAATGAGATTAAACCTGCTGGATTTATAAGAACTGCGCCACATCCAGGCCTCTTTTTACTCTTTAACTTAGCACTTTTGGTAAAGTTGTTGTCGAGATAAAGTAAGACATTGCAGCTCTAAATATGATTTATAGGCAGTGCTGTAGATTTAATGTTGAGCAAACAGGAACTCTCACAGCATCCTGCTGGACAGAGGAATAGGAAAACATCGTCCTGGAGTGGGACGGACTTGGCAAACACTGCTACACCCAGAACATGAGGTAAACTCTGAGGCAAAGCCTTTAGGTCTGTAAGATCTGAAAGAGTGAGCGCACCAGTTATGGACAGATGTGAGGACAGAAGACTCACTGATGCCTGGCAGTTGTCCGTCTCGCCGACGTCGTACAGAACCACATCTTTGATGAAAACAGTCACAGCTTTCAGTATGAGAGACACAAACAGATTCATGTGGATGTAGTTTCTTGTACAGTGGAGCTTCCTGGAAAAAATAAAACAATTATTCAAATGATAAACAAGAATAAATAGGCAGATCACAAAGGATTCAAAGTGTTTATTGTCATGAGCACAACTGGAAACCTTTACCAGTCAGAGCAAAAAAACAATGAACAACAAGCAGAAGATTTTTAGCTGACTCCAATCAGCTGTTCAGAAATGTTTACATACAGTACAGGTAAAATCATTACAAATAGGTGAAAAAAACAAACGTACGAGCAACATTAAATGTGCAAAATGTATTTTAAGACAGTGATAACGGAAGTTACTTCTTTTTAATGCAGTGTGCTTTCACTATGAATCTCACAATGCAAAAACATGGGAGTAATAAAGGGATATTTTGATATATACTTTGTGTGATGAACAGTTAGTATCTTACCTGTTGCATCATGCTGTCCGAATTGGTAAGTTAATAAAGACTAGTCCGAGTCAAAGTGAATGTTGCCACCCTAAAACAACCTCAGTCGTTCTATGTTCAGTCAAGTTGCTCTCAGATGTTGGCAACATCTCATCAGTTGCATCAGTCAGAGAAGTCTTTCTCCAGGCTGTGCTAACAGTTAGCAACACGATGGCCTGTTTTATTTAGTTTTCCTTTTTTACGTTACTTTTTTTCTTATAAAACAGCTCTTTCTTATAAATGTCACACTGGTGGAAAAGAATGCTGCATTAGCTAACACTAAAATGTGACAGGCGGTTTGACATTACAGAGAAAGAGCTGTTTTAAGAGCCTGAAGAAAGATATAAAACAGGCTCTTGTTTGGCTAGCCATTAGCCTAGCTTAGCTGCATTAGAAGAGCTACAGCCATCTGTGGCCCCCAATAATCACAGAATTTCATCTGAATCTGTACTGAAAAACTGCTTTTGTTGTACGGGTTCATAAAACAGCATTTGTAAGAACTGCTATGAAACGTTGGTGTTCAGTGTTGTTTTAAAATAAAACGGCAGTAATCCAGTTTAATCTGAGCTCAGACGAGCTCTTAGTCCAAACTGAGGCTGTTCAAAGAGCTGAGAAGATAAATGTTGAGAATTTATCTACAGAACCCCACATCCATCCATCCATCCATCCATCCATCCATCCATCCATCCATCCATACATCCATACATCCATACATCCATCCATACATACATACATACATACATACATACATACATACATACATACAT